TTAGGAGCGGAGGAATGAATTTTCAAAAGCGCGGAGAAACCCCGAACGACTCTCCGACGTCGAGTGAGCTCGGAGGGACTCCCCCGATTGTAAAATTCATTTCTTCCACCCGAATTGAGATGAAGGATTGAACCCGATGCCGATCGGTCGAGAATTAAATTCTCAATAAATGACAACGATTTCATTCCTTAATCTCAAGTAGGAGCGGAGGAATGAATTTTCGAACGCGCGGAGAAATCCCGAATGGCTCTCCGGCGTCGACTGAGCCCGGAGGGGCTCCCCTGATTGGAAGATTCATTTCTCCCTCCCCCCTAACTGCGAAGAGGGAATTAAAGCAACATCTATCGATCGAGAATAATATTCTCAATAAATGACAGTGGTTTCATTTCTTAATCTCTATTAGGAGATGAGGAATGAATTTTTAAAGCGCGCAGTAACTCCGAACAAGTTCTTCTCATTAAAAAATTAATTTCTCCCCTCCCTAATTGAGATGAAGTAATGAAACCAAAGCTTACCGATTGAGAATTATATTTTTAATAAATGACATCAGTTTTATTTCTTAATCTCAGTTAGGAACGGAGGAATGAATTTTCAAAAGCGCGGAGAAACCCCGAACGGCTTTCCGACGTCGAGTGAGCCCGGAGGGGCTCTCCCGATTGGAGTGTTTTCACCTTTCGCCCACGAATTAAAAATTCACCTCTCCCCTCCTAATTGAGATTATGGGATGAAAAAAAGGCAGTTCGACGGAGAATTAAATTCCCCATCAATTAACCCTCTTTCATCCTTTAATCTCTATAACAAAAAAATAAAAACTGCCATGAAATTCAGGGACCAGTAAGAAAAATAATTCTTTCGCAGCGCACACTGACTTTTCACCATTCGCCCGCGAATTAAAACTTCACCCCCCCCCCTCTTAATTGAGATTACAGGATGAAAAAAGGGCAATTCGACGGAGAATTGAATTCTCCATCTATTAACCCTCTTTCATCCGTTAATCTCTGTAACAAAAAAATAAAAACTGCTAAGAAATTCAGGGGCCAGTAAGAAAAATAATTTTTTCTGCGCGCACACTGACTTTTCACCATTCGCCCACGAATTAAAAATTCACTTCTCCGCTCCTAATTGAGATTAAGGGATGAAAAAAAGCCAGTTCGACTGAGAATTAAATTCCTTATCAACTGCCCTTTCATCCCTTAATCTCAATTAGGAGGGGAGAGGTGAATTTTTAATTCGCGGGCGAATGGTGAAAAGACAGTGTGCGCTGCGGAAGAATTATTTTTCTTACTGGCCCCTGAGTTTCATGGCAGTTTATATTTTTTTGGTACCAAGATTAAGGGATGAGAGAGGGTTAATTCATAGAGAATTTCATTCTCCGTCGAATTGCCTTTTTTTCATCCCTTAATCTCAATTAAGAGGGGAGAGGTGAATTTTTAATTACCGGGAGTCACTGTGCGCCGCGAAACTATTATTTTTCTCACTGGCCCATGACTTT